AAAATATGAAGAAACATTAAACCACATACCCTCCTCACCTGCAGCCTCAAGTGGTACAGTTAATGCACAAGTTTACCACCCCAGTGACTACTAGGTCAAAGTCCCATTGAAACTTATTTATTTTAAAAAACATTTGCATACCACTGTTAATTTTTTTAAAAAAAATCAAGTGGTTTACAACAGAATATAAAACCATACTATAAGTATGCTCCCTGTTATTTTGTCATGCGATTTAGGCTATAAACCTATGCATGCTTGTGTAGGGGCCATCGTGTAAGGGCCATTGACTTAAGTAGAATTTACCTGTGACTAGTAAACACATGTAAGGTCAGACTGCTAGCCAAGACAACATACATTAGCAGTATTTAGGGCAAAGTTATTAGTAGCTTTTTGTGTGTTTGTTTCCCCTGAGAGCACCTTGCAAGGAAGAACACATCACAGTAACAACAGGCAGAGCAGAATGCTCAGCATTCGCCAACAAAGGGTTCTCTCCTGCTCACCCGCACCCCCCTTAGTCCACATGTGGTGGATTCCCCCCCCCCCCCGCTTATGTCTCTTCTTTATGAGAATGAAGGGAATTTTCCATTGGTTGAGTGAAGGAAGGTAATTACAAGAAGAGTCAGCATGTTTGCATTTTACACAGCTACCTGTCTTCTTGGGACTGGGCAAATTGAAGGTACGCAGGGATCCTGCTTTGAGACACTCTCAGATGGTGAGCCTCATTGCTGCCTTGTTAATTTAATTTAATTATTTTTACATAAATTTCTATACTGCTTAACTTTTTAAAAAACAAAAACCCACCCACCCACCTACCAATGTAGTGTACAACACAGACTAAAAACAATATAGAATTTGGAATAAAAAAAAAAATTGTATTGATGAATGGACCATACTATTGGTGTCCCAGCTTACCTTTCCTGGCTTACTTTACTCTTCCAGCATCTGGAACTGGGGTTCCTACCTCTAGAATCTTGAGGCATGGTACCTATTATTTCTGAGAAGACGAATGTTAGTAATATGCCCTACTTGTGCTTCTTTTGTTGTCCTTGGTTACTTGTTTGTGCAAAGTGCCCTTTGACCAGAGTTCCCATGTGTGCTTGTCTTAATTTCTCAAAACATCAGGATAGAGAGATGTGGCCCTATGCCATGTACCTTGATATATGAGATCTGTGTTTCCTGGCTGTTCAGAGAGTAGATGGTATGCTTAGTCTTGTATTTCCATTTTGGGCTGGGAAGGAAGTGATAATTGCCAAGTGTTAGTGCTGACCTTTAAAGCCCTAAACAGCCTAGACCCTGAAGGAGCATCTCCACCCACAATGTTCAGCCTGGACACTGCGATCCAGATCTGAGGGCCTTCTCGTTATTGGTGCTCACCCTCCCATCAGATGCCAAGAAAATAAACAGCTCTTTGGCTTTTAGAAGACATCTGAAGACAGCCTGTATAGGATTTTTTTAAAAAAAATGTTTGATGTTTTATTGTGTTCTTAATATTTTGTTGGGAGCCGCCTAGAGTGGCAGGGGCAACCCAGTCAGATGGGTGGCAAATCATCATCATCTGGAACTCTTTCTGTTGGCATAAACGAGAACGTTTTTAATTTGAACCACCCTTTTACAGGCATCACGTTATGCTGACATCACAGGGAAGGACTGATCTCTCAGCAAGTTTAGGATTACGAGCAAAGTTCACAGGAACCCCATCATGCTCCAAGCCTCCATTTTCTTCACCTGAGTCAGTGGTGTCACACTGGTATAGAAGTTGCTCTATCAGCAGTATGTTGCACTGGGTTTTGAATCCTGCATATGTTTGTGTTCCGCTGGTGCAAAGAGGATTTAGCAACAATCTTACTGTCAAGTGAGTGGACATACCTCAGGGACAGGATTGTGCTGCTGTTTACTTTTTATCTTTTGTTAAAGGCAGGACTGTAGGGTGGAGATGCTGAAGAAGATTTACACCCTGTTTCTAGAGAAAGCATACCCTATGACACACACACACACACACACACACACACACACACGTATCTAAGTGTGTTGAACCAAAGATGAACTGTTCCAGAAGCTTTGCTTACACTATTTGGTAGTCAAGATCACACCACAATTAATTGGTAGTTGTTGTAGCAATGAGCTTATATGTGTTTATAGTCACTTGCTTAGATATAAGCTAATTGGTTTGCTTTGATGTTGTCCTTATCTGTGGACTTGGGGTGCTGGGCTCTGAGCCCAGGAAGTGGAACTATTTGTAAGGCTTGGGTATTTGCCACCTGCAACCTCATCTGGGCAGATGAAGTGATGGAGGTCCAAGACAAGGTGAGGTATGTTGCTTTGTATATAAAGAATGTATGGAAATTTGCTTGGGCACGGATAAGTCATCTCCTTGCTGCAGAGTCTGTCCTGCATCTACAAAACCTAGGAGAACTGGCAGGCTGATTTGCTGATTTGTCTCTACCTTATTTAATAAAGTGCTAGAACTCATCACTCTGGCATTTTGGGCATCCTTTTTTGGAATACACCAGTCTCCCCCAACCAAAGAGCTTCCAAATATCATTGGGCTACACATCTCCTATCAGCCCCAGACTGTAAAGCTAATGGTCAGGGATGGTGTGGCTTGCAGTCAAAAACATCTGAAGGGCACCAGGTTGGGAAAGGCTGACACACTATGGAGTTGGAAAGTAAAATGTAAGTGGCAGTCTTCAACTAAGTTTTACTCAGAGTAGACTCACTGAGATTAGGGTGAATAGCACCCAAGACTTATAGCAGGGAAGGTTCAAGCATTAATTCAAATAACTGAAGCTATGAAGAAAACAGAAATGTAAATATTCTGGATCCTCCTGTACAGCAATATCAAATATGCTGGGGTTTCTTTTTAAATTAGAAAAAGATTACAAATATTTGTCACTGAAACATGAAGATAGACTATCTTTCTGTGCCTGAGCGAATCAATGTATTGCTAGTGACTTGAAGTGTGTATGTGCGTGAATCTTCTGAAACAAGGTTCAGTTATTTGAAAATTAAGATGCTGCCATTCTTTCAGGAAATCACGCCGATTTCATCTGGGGCTCTGTATTTAATCAATACTGGATTTAAATATATCAAATTATTCAATTACATCAGCTATGGGGAACCTGTGGCTCTTCACATTTTATTTACTTATATGCAACATAATACAAAAATTTCTAAGCGGTATGCAGAGCATTACAGTTATAAAGTCATGTGATAAAAACCAAATGAACATATAATATCAAAACCCAGTAGCATATTAAAACAAATTATTAAAACAAAATACTGAGCAGCATGATCTAAACAAAATGGTAATGATCAAGGAAAGCCCGCCTGAACAGATGAGTTTTCAGTGAGTGTTTAAAACCTGCCAAAAGTTGATGCCTGAACGGCAGGAGGAAGATTACTCCAGAGGGTCCGTGCGTAACCACAGAGAAGAGAATTGTTGGATTTCAATTCCCATCTGCCCAGCCAGCATGGCCCACTATCAGGAATGATGAGAGTTGTAGCCCAACTCGAACAACATTTGGAAGGGTCATAAGTGCCCTGTTCCTCTTCTACTGTAATCTATTGTCACTCTAATTCTAAACATGTAATTTGAAAGAAAAAACAACTAAGTTCAAGAGAACTTTGTAGAGCTCTGTGACTTACACACTCAAGTGGGGAGAGCTTGACTGGTAAATAACAGCGCTATGTGTTTGGGGGGCAGGTAGGTAGAAGGTAGAACTCTCTTCTAATTCCTGGATCCAGCATGGATTCTATTCCTGGAATAGCCAGGCTAGCTTCAAGGTAAGAGGTAATGGCCCTCTAAGGATGGGCCATTAAGGTAACAAAGGAAGTGGTGCTGTGCAAATGGGTGGCCCCCTTCCCTCAACTCATTGGTAGACCAGAGTTGGGAATTGAGTTATGTGAGCTAGAATGTAGAAGCTGGTAAACTGCAGCCTGGGCAGCTGAGAGACAGAGCTGTGCCTGATATTGGTTGAAATCCAAGGCTGTGGCTCTGGGAAAAGCAAGACCCACTTGGGGTGTTAATGCTGTGAACCCTCCTACTGCAGGCAGAGGTTGTATACATGTGTAAATAAACACATATACAGTATATCCTAAAGACACCATGGTCTCCAATGTACCTCATTCCAAAGGAAACCAAACCCTGGGATCCCTGCGATCTTGCACCGCTTGGAGATTGTGGTAGTGTAAAACAAAATCCATGCAGACTAGGCCAGGTTCTTGTTCTCTGTATATAAAGCTTATCTACTTAAACAACTTTAACAGTGTCACTATGTGGCTAACCTATACAATTTACTGCATGCCAGAGATCCAGGTGCTACCAGACAGGTTGCAAATAGCTATTGTTAAGACAGTTTCAGTCCACATCAAACAAGAGATTAACCTCCAGAGTGCTTGCTTGTGCAGAAGGCTGCAGTAATTAAGTGGTTTATGACTCTGGCATTGGATGACACAGCCTTGGCTGTTCTAGCTGGAAGGTTAACATGACACCTAAAATCTAGTGTTAACTCTTCAGGATAACACTGAGGCAAAAAAAAAAAAAAAAAAGTCATGTGGATTAAAAATGAGGTGACACATTGCTACATCTCGATAAATATTCTGTAACGGCTGCCCTATAACAGTCCTTGGCCTCTTGCCTATGTAATTGAATTGATGAGGATTATTTCAGGAACCACTAAAATCTGTTTTATGCATATTCCTTTAAGTCAAGATTCATGAAATTGTAGGGCTAAAGACCTGGAAGAAGTGATTGATCATCATCAGCAATGATATTAATATAGGTTCTTACAATCCTTTACTCTCACAACACTCCTGCAAAATGGGTTGCAAGTTTTACTGGTTTCTGTCACTCCTTTTCTTTTTTAAAAAAAGTTTGGTTAATCACCCGCCTTTTACCCAATCAGTTAACTCACTGGTTCTATTTGCAAAATTTCAGTATGGATTATCATTTGAGAAATTCAAACATAAAGCAATGTAGTCTATATATATATGTCAGTAGCACCTTAGAGACCAACTAGGTTTGTTCTTGGTATAAGCTTTTGTGTGCATGCACACTCAACATGAAAGCTTATACCAAGAACAAACTTAGTTGGTCTCTAAGGTCCTACTGGACAATTTTTTAATTTCTTTATATATTTCAACTGCGTCAGACCAACACGGCTACCTACCTGAACCTATAATGCAATGTAGTTCATTTAACTCAGGGATCAGCAAACTTTTTCAGCAGGAGGCCAGTCCAATGTCCCTCAGACCTTGTGGGGGACCGGACTATATTTTGAAGAAGAAAAAAGAATGAATTCCTATGCCCCACAAATAACCCAGAGATGCATTTTAAATAAAAGGGCACATTCTACTCATGTAATAACACACTGATTCCTGGACCGTCCATGGGCCCGATTTAGAAGGCGATTGGGCTGGATCCGGCCCCCGGGCCTTAGTTTGCCTACCCATTATTTAACTCTTTGTTAAGGAAAAAGGGGCATCATAAATATTTTATTTTTCTATGTTAGAGTAATAGCATCAAAATACCTCCCTCAAATAAAACAAGGGTATGGACCTTTAATGCACAGCTCCACTGACTGGAACTCTGACTCATCAACAAAAGATTTAGCTGATTATGGAGCCCTAAATTAATCAATGAAAAACGTAGATGATTAATGATCTAACTAAAGTTTGTAGCTGCTACTTTTAATTATTATACAGCTTGTGGATTGAGCCAAGAAGCCTTCTTTCAGGCTTAACCCCACGTGTGCAATATGTGGCTATTACTGATCTAACTTTCAGGGTTCTTGCATTACAACAAAATAATGCAAGTGACATGTGCAGAAGTAAGTTTCTTTAAGTTCAGTGGGGTTTACCTCCCATATACGTGCTTAAAGGATTGCAGCCTAAGTTTTATATTGGGAAATGAAGTCAAAGCTGAGTCAAAATATGAACCCAAGACTCATAGGCCCAAGCTTACAGGACATCCAAGTGGGCAACCGTACTGAGGCAGAATCTTCTAACTACACCACTGTATTATTTCTTCTGGTGTGCTAAATCACACACATGACACATAAGAGCCACAGATGGCCTATACACTAATCCCTGCAGAAGCCCCTGCAGCAGACTGAAGGAATCATCAGGTGGTCCAAGACCAGGAAAGAGATGAAATCCACATGTGACAAATATATACCAAGAACTACACAATGTGGCGCCTTCTTGGTTTTTAGCTAATGTCCGAGCTATTTGTGCATTTTCCATAAATCTGGATATGCATCTTAGAGACGAGATTGGAGAAATAATAGCAGCCATTACTGGATTTTTCTCAAGTATCTCCTAATGAAAGTTCCAGTACACCCAAGGGTACTATTGCCCCAGTTTGGGAATGAGTGCTGATCATTACTTAGATGTGGCGGGGGTGGGGTGGGGGGAGAGAATACACAAGCATACATAATTATTTGATCCTTTTCAGAAATGTACATGATCAAGTATCTCTCCAGACAAAACCTGTCCCCAAAGTCCCTAACAACAACCAGATCTGCTCTGTTGTCCTAAAATAGCACTCTCTTATAGGGTGGGGAATGTTTACTTTTAAAAAGTATTTGTCTATTTCCTTTAAAAAAAAAAAGTATAAAGCAACTTAAAAAAACCTGTGCCAGTTAAAACCAATACAAACTACTCTTATATAATAACTAAACAGAGCTCTACTTAAAATAAAATAAGTGGGATAGGCTTGCTGTAGTGGTGACTGGCATGCTGGGCAAATATTCAGAAGTCACACAGAGAGCCAGTGTGGTGTAGTGGTTAAGAGCGGTAGTCTCGTAATCTGGGGAACCGGGTTCGATTCCCCGCTCCTCCACATGCAGCTGCTGGGTGACCTTGGGCTAGTCACACTTCTCTGAAGTCTCTCAGCCCCACTCACCTGACAGAGTGTTTGTTGTGGGGGAGGAAGGGAAAGGAGAATGTTAGCCACTTTGAGACTCCTTCGGGTAGTGATAAAGCGGGATATCAAATCCAAACTCCTCCTCCTCCTCCTCCTCCTCCTCTTCTTCACCTGCTTTCACTGTTAAAAAAAAATAAACAAGTAGAAGTGAGCTCTAGCAATAGAATGGATCACATGAAATGATCTTTACTCACACAGCTTTACAAGAATCCTCTACAGAAGCAAATATACACCGTGAGAAAAATGTTTATATATTTATTTAAGTGACTTTTATGCAGTTTTTCTCAAGACCACGAGTCTCTCAAGGCAGCTCACAATCAGCAATAATTTATTACCTTTTTATTTATTATAAAAGAAGAAAAGGAGTTCTACTTATTTATTAGGTAAACTTGGAAGATATAGGTCTAGCTGCAAGTCAGTTATTATTTCTTTTCTGTGAACCGCCCTGAGACCTCCGGGTATAGGGCGGTATATAAATTCAATAAATAATAACAACAGTTTCCTAGTAATACTCTTGCAGTCTGGTTGAAGCTCTCTGGAAATTTTATTATTAAGCCTGTTTTGCATACTTTTTCATTTTAGATTTACTTGGCCAGTTCACTTATGCATGAATTCTTGTTTTATTTGCTTTTTAAATGCTTTTATACTTTTGTTTGATTGGTTTTAGGTTGTTTTAATGATATTCTTTCTTTTTTATGGTGCACACTTCTTGAAGATTTTTAAAAATCTTAAGCAGTTTATAAATGCTTCCAAATAAATAAATATTTGTGCACCCCATCATTTGATCACGAAAGACTTGATGAGCCACAGCTGAATGTGTGAACATTGTTCTTGAGACAATATAGAACATGCTAGTGCTTGAGGTAATGTAAAATGTTATGGCAGTCCCCTCTGCGGTGTGTGTGATCTGTTGATGTCTCATTTGCATACTCAAGTAACCACCAAAGGGGTATACATAGACTAGAGTCACACCATCTTTCCCATAACAACTTCTAATGCAAAGGCAGATGTAATGTTTTACCAGAAGTTCATGCTGCGTGTCACTCTAGACTTTCCCCATCTCTATTGTTACCACATGACACCTTGATTCATGCATGTGTGAACCAACCTCTGCTGCCAATACTTCTACAACATATTTTCCTAGGGGGCTTGTTCTGTCTCAGGATACAGCAGCAGAAGCCAAAGCATTCGCTAAGTAGGCACATGCTTGTCAATACATCTATGCCCCGTGAGTAAGAGAATGGTAAAGCAAAAGCCAAGAAAGATAGAGTGCATCATCCTTGAATAACAAAAAAATAAAAATTGAACTGTCAGAGTTAATTATTTTCCTTGAGTCTTCTTGCGCACAATGCTGTTATTAAATGAGCAGACCATTAGAATGTGTATGAGTCTGCAGCTCTTCAGTTATGCTTTCAAAAGCCTTAGCAAAACACCAGGGGAGCGCAGAATCTCCATATTTTAAGTCAATTAAGACAGAAAGAAAATGACTGTTTGGCAGGACTACCTAATAAGGTAACAACAGGTATTTCATAGTACACGTAGAAGTTTGGTATTATATATTTAATGTCCTCCCGCTGCCAGTTACTGATTTTTTTCCCCATGCTGTTACACAAAAGGTGTTTGGAGGGTTTGCTTTCAGACAGACAGACAGAGATGCTGGAGCTTTCCATCCTGCAAGCTCAAATGTGGGATGCTGCTGGTAGCTATTTAGCAGTAAAGGGGAGAGGCTCAGAAGACCTTTCTTGCTGTGATTTTAATTTAAGGTGTTAAAAAGAACACTATTCTGTCCTAGCCCTGCTGCCTCACATGAATAGATGTGCTTCCAGAGCATGTTGTCAACTGGCTTCTCACAGGAGCCAATCAAAGCTCTTTCCCCCACTCCCCACACATGCTACTGCTGCACGGTACTAGGTCTACTCTATTGAAGTCAGGCAAGTTAGTGAAGTCCTTTCTGCCAGAACCACATGGCAGCCCACTTACAAATGCAGGAACATAGGAAACTGCCTTATCCTAAATCAGACCTTGGTCCATCTAGCTCAGTGTTGTTGACAGTGACTGGCAGCAGCTTGCCAGGATTTCAGGCAGGGGTCTCTCCTAGCCCCACCTGGAGATGCTGTGGATCGAAACTGAGATCTTCTGCATGAAGAATGGACGCTCCATCACACTGAGCTATTGGCCTTCCTCTCAAGGCTCTGGTGTGCAGACTAATCTCTTATATTGACTACAATATAATGCTTCCTTCAAGCTGAATTTCAGGGTCAGGGGAGGAAACCCTGCAGGCACCAGGGGAGGCCTCTCCAGGTCCATGAGTCTTCACAGCTGTCAGGTTGGCAACCCCTGCTGTCTTCTTCTTTCTTTCTTTGGCGATCACTCATAGCTGAGTAAGATTGTCTTCCATAAACACGGTTTTAACAGTGAGTCCATAAGTGACTGTGGAGGCCAATTCTGGATCCACATATCCTTCCACATAGGTTTCCGGGCGGGAGTTGATCATGGTGAGGGTTTGCCAAGCGTGCCTTCCTCTTAGCATGTTTCTCCCTTTCGTCCTGAGTTTGAGTGTCTTCAAAGTCCACGACACCTTTGGTAAAGGCTGTTCTCCAATTGGAGACTCGCAGGCCAGTGTTTCCCAGTTGTCTGTATTTATACCACATTTTTTTAGATTTGCCTTGAGAGAGTCTTTAAACCTCTTGTTGACCACCAGCATTACACTTTCCATTTTGAAGTTTAGAATAGAGTAATTGCTTTGGAAGACAATAATCAGGCATCCGAACAACATGATAAGTCCAGTGAAGTTGATGATGAAGAATCATTGCTTCCACACTGGTGATCTTTGCTTCTTCTTTACAATCCCTGCTATAGGGCGCATGGCATGGTAGTGCCTCACCACACACATAGCATGCATTGGAAGAGGATGGCTTTGCTTGGCCACTTAGAATTACAGTTACCCACAGGCTACTTAGGGGTACAGTCACCTATTTTTTGCTACCTACGGCAATTATTTTGTGCTGGCACCTACAGCACTTTTATCAAGAGATGAGTACCAACACCACTTTTTTATTTTTAACCAAAGTAAGCATTGCTCCTCAGAAAAAATCCACCACAACCTGCTCCCTGCATGTGTGCACATATGTGAAAGGAGCAGTACTGCAACCTAAAGCTTTAGTTCAGGGGTGGGGAA